CTCTAATGTGAAACAGCTGTAGTAGGAGCATTTATATTGATGACTTAGAAACAGATTTATTAAACCTAATAAAAAGTAACAATTAATGATGCATGCATGCTATACGAGTGAAATAAAAATTATTCTATTGATTTCTGGTTAATTGATTGAGGCAAAGCAATGTGAAAGCTATCTGCCCACTGGAAGAGATTCATTCCTGAAGGATGTTTTCAGGTAAACTGCTTTGCATCCATGTAACACATAAGGAAAAACTCCTATGCTGCCAGCCCATTTGCTGAGATTCAAACAAGGGTCCAGCTACTAACATTTAGTTACTTTATTGCTTGTCCACAGGTGGGCATCATTCCATCAAACTTTTAGATTTTAATGGATGTTGACCTTTTTTATATATATTTGCACAAATATTTAAAAAATTCCAGTATTTCTGTTTTATTTTTCCTGCATTACTATACATTCAGTGTTGTAGGTTTGGTTTGGTTTATTTGATTATGGCAAAACACTCAAGGGTTACTAGCCTAAAGGGAAAGATGCCTTTGTGGAGGACTTTCTTAGGGAAATTGGCTCATATACACATTATGCATAGGGAAAATAATAAAAACACCCATGCAGCTAGCCCGTTCATGAGATTTGAAAATCGGACCAAACTACCAGTGTTCAGCAACTTTCCCGCTTGGCTGCTGGTGGGCCATTCAGTGTTTTATGCAATGTACCTTTTAATATTATTTAAATTAAAGAAAATGAATAAGATCTATGTTTGTATATATAAAGCCTTTTTAAAATCTCTATTAAAAATATGGGTACTTTTCCGTTTTGCCAAGCAGACTTTATTGGCGACAACACACAGCATACACATAAAAAATGCTAACAAATGTTAGTTCTAAAAATTTTTATTTTGAAGGTATGAACATTTTAATATTGCTTAAAATTTTGTAAAAAGATATTAATTTAAGAATTTGCTACGCTTTCAAGGCACAACAGCCTGATTTGCAGTTTCATATCATGTGACACCAAGTGATCTCATCTCACGTAAACTCCGCTACAAAAATCTAATTCTCTCAGTAATTATCTACATTAATTTCAAGTGAAATTTTAAGTGGAATAAAAGTTTAAATGCAAGAATTATTTCAATTCTTACGAATAGCTTACTCCGAAAGTATGTAAAACCGCAGTGCTTTACCTCGCTAGTGCATTCTCATTAGAATTAATGAATTTAACCCTTGACTTTGCCTTTTCCATATTTTCGCCTTTGGGTGAGTAGTGTGATTGCATCCTAATTGACTTAATTACTGCAAATGGCCTTACGGTACAAAATTGAACTATCTGGGAAAAAATTCTATATAATTGTATACCAATATTGAAAGAAACAACCAATCTGATAAAAAAATGGCTGCGACTTGTTTTGAAAGTCAGGCATAAAAGATTACCAGCGAGGATATTTTGTTTGGTATCAGTTATATCATTTTTGGCGACTTTATCACTTGCGCTGGCAAAATGGAAATGTACCAAAATATGCATAATAAGAAACTGTTAAAAATCTGTCTCAGTTTTAACTTTGAAAAGTCACATGTATCTAGGTTTGCCAAGTCCCAATAAAGGACACTACAAACTATATTTATTTTTGTTTTATTATTATTGTAAATGACTGGAATACAATCTTAGAGTTACTGTTCGTGTGAACAAACAATTTCTTAAAACTTTGAAAACAAATGAAAGAAGTTTTACTTTATTAACTTAGGTAATAATATATTGACTCATTAAACACAAAATATGAATTATTAGAATAACCACTAGAATTCATTTAAACACATTTCATTCAAAAATGTAGAAAAATTTAAAATATTTGAAACTTTTAAAACTAAACTTCTAATTTCTAAAATCATATTTGTTCTGATTTTTGGCAGAAAGTAAGCATTACTTTTTATGTTCTCGACAAATTCTGAATAACCTTCTTTCAAATTAAAATGTACAAATAATTCATTTTTTATAAATTCAATTGAATGCATATTTCGCTCATTTCTGTTCTTTCACATTATGCTGATGCTGCAGGAATTAAAAACATACATGAAACTATTTTTAAAATATTCCTACGTATACAGTCAGAACTTTTCAAAATCATCTGCTATTTGTTTCTTGATGTTTTGGATCTCATAAAATGTTTAGAATTTTGAGCAAAGGTCTTGAATTAATGTTACTTCATCAAAATGGCCATTTATATTCAAATCCAGCTTTTCTTTTTACTTCAAATCTTTGATAACTTAACAAATTTCAGATGTTAGAAATGAATTACTTAACAGACTTAGAACTGGCAATTTGCCAAGTTAGAATTTCCATCAAGGTGTTTTCCTAAGTAAGAAATTGCTGATGAAAGAAATAACAGTCACTGATAATCGTTTAAGATTTTGGAATATTTAATTCTTTTAAATGTTGATGAAAGTCGTAAAATCCATCATACTGAGATTTAAGCTTATTTTTTAAGCCGGTCAAAATACTGAAATCATCTCCATCAGAAGTTTCATTCTTAAATAGCTAAGTTGAATATTGACATTAAATGTTGCAAGAAAAATAAATATATTACAACAATTGATATAATTTCTGTAGAATTATCATCCATTAAAAGCAGTTTGATTAATTGCTTAGAACAATTAGTTGGTCTGCTTAAAAAATAAGAGCTTACGGCAGCCATCTAGTAGGTATGTCTGAGGAATTTTGTTCTACTGCAAGATAATATGCAACTACTTTGGAACCTCAGTGATTTTTTTAATTTAATTTTGAACTGCAGTCACGTTGATTAAAAGAGCTTCAAAGATCAAAATCTGAGCACCAATTTTGTGCAATTCTCAGATGTTCTCTCTCAAAAATAGATAGCTCTATACATGCAGAGAATGACAGTGCATGCAGTGACAAGTTGTGTGCAATGCTGAGTTTCTGCAATTCTCCTTTTTTTTTTTTAAGCTAAAACAAATCATTGTGTACATCAGAAAAAACAGTGCAGAAAAAAAAAAGGTAAGTGCTTATAATGGGATGTTTCTTGAATTTTTAATTTTGTTAATTGACGGCTGTTTTGTGTAATTCTTAATGCACTGCCAGTTTTGTAAATGGCTGTTGCCTTTCATATCTTACCTTGATGAAAAATTAGTTGCCAACGGCTGAGCCCTTTTTGGGAAGGAGGTGCAGATAATCAGAGCACCAGTTTTACATATTTGGGTATCTCATATAAATATCCTGTTGAAAGCATTTATTATTAATAGTTAAATACATGCACAGTATTCTTAGAATTTTCTTAGATCGTATTATCTGTGATTTGAGAATGCTACCATATAGTTAGAAAAACCTGATTTAAGAGAATCAAGCAATACCAAAAAGAGAAATAACATTTTACATTAGAAACAAAACAAAACAACAACAACAAATAATAATAATAATAATAATAATAATGAATCTTACATGCATTTCAGATTTTATGCAAAATGTGTGTTGGTGAGTCTAAGGTTGGAATTTTACTGCAAAAACAGAATAGACATGTGTTTCAAGTTTACTGCCTTGCAGTGGTCCCCAGCAATTTGGGTGGGACTAGATTCTACTGGCAAAACCAATTTTATGATAATTCAAGTGGAACAGTCTACTGCCTGAAAATTTTGCTACGAAGCAAATGCTATGAAGCAGTTCTTTATTCTTAGGAATAAAATCAAAATTACACAGGCTTAAGTCTGTGAAGCATGATGGATAATACACCATTTCCTAGCGTCACTAATCATATGAGACCCACCAGCAGCCTAGCGGTAAAAATTGCTGTACGCTGGGAGTTCCAACCTAGGTTTGATTCCAGGTGAACAGGCTGGCTACATGGATGTTTCCATGTTTTCTCCCAATTGTAACACGTATATGAGCTAGTTTCCCTTAGAAAGTCCTCCATGAAGGCATCCTTCCACTTAGGCAAATAGCCCTAATGTGTTTTGCCATAATCAACTAAACCAAAACAATCAAACGAATCAGCTGCAACTTGAAGCTGCACATTATGCATCTGGCCAACTTTCTGCAAAATATTAGAAAGTTCCTACAGAAAGAACTGCCATTTTTTTTCTCAAAGCTGACCACATATTTTGTTTAAAAATATAAACAGTAATATTGCATTCTGGTGGTCTACCTGGCCATGCATTATGCTTTAAAACAGCACCATCAGTCTTGCACAAAATTTAACACTTTCATACTTCTCTAGCTATGTTGAACTTTTGAACTTCATGGTAATCTGCAATAATATCTGAAGGCTTTTAGACATTGCACTACAGCCCAGTAAGGTAATGCAAACTTGTTGAATGACTCTTAAAGACCTTGATGCTACTGTTATGACAACTGGTACAGTAAATTTTCATCCAACTCTGCTGCTTCTGTTTGAAAAAACATCACAGCTGTCTAGTCGAGACTATCAGCTAATCTAAGGCTCTGTTTTTTCTATCCATGGGCAAGCACATGAAGGAGATAGAGATGGTCCATTTGCTCTTAAGTAAGTATATGTAACTAACATGTTGTACAAGCAATATTATCTGATGCCATTCTATGCCATTTCTACTGAACCATTGCTCCAATTACAATTTCAACCCAACTAAAATTCTAATAATAAAAAATACTTAAAAGTTCAAAATTATATAAACTCAAAAGAAAAATGATGCTAAATTCGGCATAAGCTGCAGATTCCTCTGTTATGTTAAACACATTCTTTTACAAAAATCCCAAGCAAATCATTGCCTTCTTTTTCAGCTAAATACATAATATCACATCTCCTTGATAACTTAAACTCAAACACTTACTGCCAAAACAACTGTCGTCAATTCCAAATATAATTTAAAAAAATTATTTAAAAGTAATAAATCTATGATAATTTTGAGATAAATAACAAAACAAAATTTGATTATACAATGAATGCTAATCACAAAACAAAATAACCACAACAAGAATAATGAGCAATAATGGTACTAAATACATAAGAATAAAATACAGTTTACTTTAAAAGCAGTATTTGTTTCATCAGCTTCTTCCAGAGATGGCTGATATACGAGTCTCCCTTTCCTAGTTCCACTGCCGAATTCAAATACTTTATCATCTTTGTTTGGTGAAGATGGATACTCAGCATCAGAAGAATAAGCTCTATCACGTTTGTTTGAGCTTGTATTTCCCATTTTCTTTTGAAAGCTGCAAAAAGCTCCATAAGTAAAACAGCTCTTAGAAATAAAAACATAATTTCTATTTTTCCTTTTAAATCATAATAAAATAATAGGCATTAAGAGTGAAACAAATAATGTGCACATATGTATTATTGTTATCAATAGCAACTCAAAGATTCTAGCAATTATTAATATATTTCAATACATGCTATTTTAGCATACAGCCACTCTTACAGTTTTTAGCTAATGGTAAAAGGACAATTTTACAAGAAAATTCATAAGAGTATATTTATTAATAGCACAAAATACAAATATTTTCAGATTCAAGTATGAATATGAAATAATATGACATACTCCTCCTTGCATTCATATTTTAATTCTTAAAAAATTCCAAAATATCTCTGCACTGATGTATAGAAATAAATATACTTCACTTAATACTCTCCAAATTCTCCACCAGTAACTGATATATCACTTTTGAGGAAACTGTAACTACTTCATGCTTTTACCATTACAATTATTTTGATGTAAAATCTGAAACTTCCTATTCAGTTTCACATGAAGTTCTCTATTGTTTAAGGAAATAAATCATTTATACTTATTATACCTATCCCTAAATGCTTGTACATTTCAAGATTTCTTTTGTGGCATGTTCTAAAGAATTAGTACAGTACATTGTTCACAATAAACTCAACCACACACATTTATCAACATTTTAAAAATATAGACAGCATAAGGTAATGCTAAAATTATAATGAAATATAAAAGCTGCTATCATACATTAAAATATTTGGAAAGAACTACACTACGCAGTTTTGTACTTTGTCGCATGATGTAAAGTAGCTATCCACTACATATGTCTAAGGCTGCAAGGCAAGGAAAAACAAGTACTTCATAATAATAGCAGACATAAAGTTTCAGTGACAATAGTTCAATGGTTTGCAAACAGTTTATACTCTAAAAACCTACCAAGAGTCTATTCTCAAAATAAAAATCACATCTTTCTTTCAGTGGTAAATCCAGGTGAAAATTGTTTAACTCTTTCACGACCCCCCCCCCACACGGCCGTACATTCAGACGAACACAACTGCCCCAAAACAGCCGAGATTGCAATCTTGTTGTCTTCCCTCCCCCTAAGGTATGTACAGCAGGTGCAGTTTCCCCAAATGCATTGTATCAATTTACTGCAGAGAGCTTAGCCTAAGAGGTTTATGTGTGGTTTCTTACCTTTAGGTTGTGCGTGACATTTCATTGTTGATTCTTTTTTGGTACAGTGTGCTTAAGGATTATATTTATTTTTAATACATTCCTTCCAGTAAAAATAAGGAAAGTAAAGAAAATCTCAGTCGTGATCATAACAAAGCCAGAGAGGCTTGTTTGTCTGACCTTCAGAATTGGTTTATAAAGAAAAGGGTCAACATCTAATAGAATCTTAGTTAAAAAGTAGAAAAGATGTCATTCCATCTTCACACCTATTTCTGTGTTAATGGATGGGGAGGTGAGGAAATTGCTAGGAAACTGGAAAAAGTATTTCGAGATGTTCCAATATTTTAAGGATACAGGTTAGTGATGGCTTTGGATTTCAAACAGTTAAAATAGTTGTTTGTTCCAACTTATTCCAATTTGTTTGGAACAACTTGTCATTAGTCGCCAAGCTCGTGATGCATAGCCAAATATGTATAGTGAAGGATAGCTAAATCTGATGATGATAGCCGCAAATTTTAAAGGTTTTTCAGATATCGCAAAACAAAGGAGAACTTTTCCAATTAACAGATTTTGTAAAATGTGGTGAAGCAGTTATAAATGAAGATGACATAAAAGAAGTTTTTCATTGTGATGATAATGCTTCTCAGTCATCAATCAATTAATGAATGGCGAAATTTGTAGTATGGTTCTAGATCCATAAAATACTGCTACCAATAGTGAAGAAAATGACATAGAAGTTACTGAAAATGAGAAAGTTTTCATTGACAAGTTAGTCGGAATTCTCGAAATAGCAGTTACAAGACTTCAACAATGTAACTAAACAAGAGATTATGTCTGTCTACAGAACTAAAGAGAAAGTATTATCACAAAAAACAAAGCAACTTAAACAACTTACATTGAAAGAAATGTTTAATAAGGTAAACAAATAAAGTTTTTTTTTTTTTTTTTTTTTTTTTGTAAATTTTGATACCCTTTCGATCATAAATGCTTCGTTATTTCATAAATCAAGATTTCATATTTTTAATTTTATAATTTCTACATGCCATCTTACTAGATTTAAACTGATTATCTAATATCCAGAAAAATTCCAGATCCAGAATCGCTGAAGTCCGACGATTCTGGACTTTGTACTGTAGTGCCGACGAGTCTGGATTTCGGACTTTGTACTGTACATTGATTGAAGTTAGCTGGAATCAAATTTTCGGCCCTTCGGTGGTTGTGGAGGTGGGTAGAAGGGGAGTTAATATTTTTCTATTTAACTTAAATAATAAGTGAAGTCCCACGAGATATTTATTTGGAGAGGGATGCTACTATTATTGTTTTTTCTTTTGTTGGAATAGCAGCAGGGAACACTGAAAAAATTGGATTTGGAAGAAATTAAGCTCAGCTAATACAGCAAATTGAATTTGCCTTTAATTTATTTGATCCCGTTTCTTTTTAGTAGGCTATTATTATCATTATACAGAGATCATACACATTTCTGCACACGGAAATTAAGTACTTTTAAGGACCATTCATGAAAAAAATTAAGGACCTATAAGCAAATGGGAACTGAATAAATTCAATTAAAAATATTATCTATGCTGAACTTCACTTTGTTATACCATCCTAAAAATAAAATAGATCCATAAGTAGGATGCATTAGTATTAAATATTATTATTAGTAAGTTTGAGAATAAAATAAAGTTTATGAAATTTATCATTAAATATTTTACTCTCATACTAACTGGACATATTTGAAAGAAGATAAGTGACATTTTATTTAGGTTTTACTAACAGTTAGCTTTGATTTTTTTTTTTTAATATCTCATTTTGTCACATACTTGCTCACTCTATGAGTTTAGTAAATAGTAAGTAGATTTTATGTCAAGCGGCATAGGTTAAAGTGAGAAGTAAAATCACAATCAGCATGATTCAAAACAAAAGACTGACTGTTGTCGCCGCTCCTGCTTGCCTAGGAGAGATCTGATGATCAGAACAAACCTTAAGGCCTGATGTAAGCACGGTTCGCAATTTTGAAAGATAGCTGAGGTCTGTCTGACGCAGTTAATGTCGTAGCTTCTTGTAGAGTTCCAGAGATTGTAACTCAGTTAATATAGTTTAAGGTCCTAATAATCCACTAAAGCACCAAAGGTGACAAGTTGTTTTGCATTATTTTAAGTCTCACTAGATGCGAAGAATAGGTTTTACATGAATTTTTACATTTTATCTTGTGACCACGATAAGGGTTAATGAAAGGCAATAACTCGCTTTAAAATGCAGAGATAATCTTTAAAGGTAATCAGTGAGTTATAAGTAATTAAATTGGGTGTTAGATAACCTTAGTCATTATGGATTTACATGGCCACTATTAAATTTTATTTATTTTTTAACAATATTTGTTAAAAAAAAACCTTATTAAATCTCTATCTAATAAAATTTCACAGTTTAAAATACATGTAATTTATGGCATTGATCCTTAAACGATATTAGGATAATTACACATTAAAAGCTACAACACTCAACAAGATATTTATGCGTCTTTTTAATATGAAGCCTTCCCAGACATTTTGGCTAATTTATATCAATTTTCTTCTCTTTAAGCATCTTTTCTAACAATTAGAATTTTGTCTCAATACGCAAGACAATGTTCTTACTAATTTCTACGTTTTGTATCTCCTAACCTGTCAACCTCTCCAAAATGTACCTATGAGGGTTTACTTGATCTGGTAAAAGTTAAATAGTCCAAAACCCTCCCCACAGATGTGAAGCAAATTATCGCTATATCTGAAAGTAACTACAAAGATTTAAATAAGCTTCTTATTTAAAAAAAAGAACATAAAGCATGTTCTTATGCTAAAAAAAATCAATTACAGCTCATGGTGATGTAATTAAACAAGAAGACTCAAATGCAAAATAAAAATATGGACTAGTCATTAAAGACTATACAATTTTCATTTTAAGCTGACTCAGTAACTCTATTGTCATAACAAATTCAAATGTCGGCAGCGGTAACATAAAGACGAATAATTGCAAATTATCAGGGCTGGCAGGAACTAATGCAGGGAGCAAGTGGAGATCAAAAACACATTCTTGTCTTACACTCCAAAAACCTCAGTTTAAAAACTGTTTAAATGATTTGCATTCTGGTGAGAAAATAGAAATGGGAAATTATAGTAAAGGCTGAAATTGTAAACAACTGGATAATTTACATAATGATATCTGTACATATCTTTGAAGAATAATTTTCCTTTCTCTTAAGGTATTCAGTTTTTTTCTTCCACGTTTCCTTTTCCTTTTATGAAAGTTTTTGGATTTAATTAAAGATTTCTGTTATTCTAAAAATACTAAATGCATTTAAGATGTATAGAGAAAGCTGCTAATTTTATAGTAATAGGAACATTCAGAAGAAATATGCAATATATATGGTAAGGTCCGGTTACAGAGCTGGTGTGACAGAATTTTTTAAATTTATTCACACATCGAGCAACAAAATCTAGAAATGTCAAAACTTTTAGAATTTAGAACAGGCATTGGAAGCAAAATTTACAAAGGCACCAAGTAGCACAATTTAGTGTGTATGATGCATTAAGCATATTAGATGAATCGTTTAAATTGTCAGTTTTTAATTTCTTTATTAATAAAAAAATTATTTTCTATAATGCCTGTCCATATCATAAGATTAGAAGCATTTTTGATATTTTATGCTTGTGTCTGGTGAAAAATAAAGAAAATAAAGGGAAAATAAAAATGTTAAGAAAAGGATTCTAGTATCAGAACTAAAACATTCAACTATTATGTTTTTATTGCTCTTCCAGATGTTCTCCAAAAAGTAAGAAATTATGTATTAATACCATGGAGACATTTTTCATTTTGCCACATTTTTCTGGAATCTTCCAGAACAGTGAATCTATAAATTTTGCCTTCAAATCTTTCTAAACTTTCCAAGCTGCAATATCTAAAATCCTAAAGAAAAATTACCCCTGCCAATTCAGTAACAGCAAAAAGCCAGAAATATTTAAAAAAAAAAAAAAAAATCGGATAAAAATGTGCAAAATTAATTTTATAGAGAAAACTGACGCATATTCTAAGACAATTACATGAGGAAACTCTTAACAGGAAAAAATTAAAAAGAAATTTTTAATTAATTACATAGCTATTTTGCTTTTGCTAAGAACCAATTACATAGCTATTTTGCGTCTCGTAAATTGCGCTTTATAGCATTATACCTTGCTTATTTTTCAGATTCAAAATATTGTATAAAAAGTGGCCAAAATGGAACTTTATAATATGACAGTAAAAAATAAAAATGCTTTATTTTAATGTTATTTCTTAAATGTAATTACAATATATTACCATTATTTTAATGAAACTTATGTTACAATGTTTTAAAAAATCGTCGAAAAATTCCCAGATCTCGGAATTAAAAATTTTCAATAGAAACTTATCATAAAATCGCCAATGTTGATAAGTTGCCAAATTTAGAGCAATTTAATAAAAGAATTCACATCCCCAAAAGCAAAAAGTTGTTTAAAAGCTCTTCACTAGAAAAAATGAAATAATTTCAAATGCTTTATGTTTCACACTTGCTCAGAAATTCTATCCCACCCTTTATATTAGAAATAGAAACAAATTATAACCCATGAACGCATTCACCCATTCAAAAGATAACAATATTTGTCAAAAATATTCCTCCAAAATGCTAATTCACATTCAAAATGGCAATCGTAAAAACAGTCAGAATTTTCAGATGATTAAAAATTAAGGACCTTCTGACGATTTTGGCCGAAATTAAGGACTTTTAAGGACCAAAAATCGATTCCAAAAAACTTAAGGACTTTTAAGGGCCGTACGAACTCTGTTATAGCTATCTTATCAAAATTTCAATTTTGGATAATATTAAAAAGACTTCCTAATTCTGGAGCTGTAGCAGGATCTGTAAAGCAAAAGCATATTTAGTACTTGTCTTCTATAGTGGCCACAGTATAAGTAAATGGCTTTGGCGCAATTCAAGTAATTGCAATTGCGATTTCAAAATCCTCCAAAACAGCAACTATTTTGGCTTTGAATGCTATGGAAGATGAAATCATTTAATTTATGAACTTGCGAAGAAATGTGAAGTGCTGATAATGAAATGATGTAACAGAAGTTTTGCATTGCAATCACAATGCCTCAATCAGTAATCACTTAACGGATGGTGAAATCTGTACAATATTATTGCCAGTAGCGATAAACAGATTTTCAAGAATGAAACAATTTTAAATCATCATTTAATGGGAATTTTTGACACAATAATTATAAGATTTGAATAATGGAACAAGAAATTACGTCTATCTAAAATTAAAGAGAAAGTATTAGCACAGAAAACAAAACAAATTAAATAACTTACATTAAAAAAATGTTTAATACAACAAACAAATTTGCAAATTTTGATTCCTTCAGAGTCGTAAATGCTTCATTATCTTTTGTTTTTAATTTCAACATGCCACCTTATTTATTTTAATGTGATGACATAAAATACAAAAATTGGCTAATATAGTAATAGGTAGTTTGGCAACATTTTGGTAAGGCGATAAAAGTTACTAGCTAGGACTTTAGTAGTGTACATGGATAAAGTCAAGAGTGTGCGCAATGCCATTTTTGTGCAATTCTGGGATGTTTTTTTTCATGATTAAGCACTTTTGTTCCATAAAAGTTCCAGTATAAGTGTAATTCCGCTAGCAGATTGTTGGGAAAAATGTTAAGTAAAAAAAAAAAAAAAAAACCCTTTATTTTGTGAAAACAAAATGGCGCCCAAAACAAAACTAGCAGGTTGCTGTAGCAGGGTTGGTTGCCAAATTTTTGCCAAGTTACCATAATCCAAAGATTAACCCAAAAATTTCTTCCAAAAATTTTTAACTTTTTAAACTGTTAATACATATTAGTTATAAAATGAACAGTTTTTTTTATTAACTTATAAGTTATTGCAGATGTACTTTTCAACTAAAGAAATAAAAAGCAACATTTAATGACAAAAAATAATTTCCAATATTTTTTTAACTTAACATATTTAGTTCAATTTGTTCTTGCATAAAACACACTTAAATTCGATTATATTTTTCTTTTGCCTTTTACATCTTTCCTCTGAAAACAAGTAATATATCATGTTGAATTTTAATACAGCTGATTCTGCCTCACTTATTCAGTTTAGTCAGGTTTCTTCTGAGAGCCTTATTGTAATTTGGGAGTTTCATTCTTATGCAGGAAAAAGGGCAGTGGCGTGGCGAGGGGGGCAAGGGGTGTATGATGCCCTGGGCACCGCTCGCAAAAGGTCTCCAAACAAGATTTTCAAATGCAAATTAGGCCAATTTTTTTCAAAAGCTATAAAAATACATTTCAGATTTCAGAAAAATATAATCAAATTCAGAATAAAAGATAGGCTATCATCTTGCACTATTTTCACATTGCCCTTTTCCTTAATACTATGAATGGTTTGGAAGTAATTCATTAGTAATTTTTCATTTAAAAATTTCAAGATCTGTCCCCACGTTAGATTGCTCACTTGCGTGGACTACTCAGTATAATTCTTTTAAGATGGCAAAATTGCACTATTTGCTTTAACTTTCACAATGAAATATGGCATGTGAATATAAAACTAGAAGCATAAACATTTACTTTATTTATAACCCAAATTATTTATTTTGTTTCTTATCACGATTCATGAGAAGAATGAAATTGCAATTCCAGCTTCCAAAAACTGTAACACATCCTCACTGTCTGAATACAGAACCTAGACTGACTGCAATAAAAAGCAGTCTTGAACCACACTATGTCCAGCTACTGAAGAAGTCAGAATTCTGTTCATTCCACTTTAAACTTAAGCCCTTTCCTATCTCTCAAGTATGCAAAATATCCCAGCAAGTTGGCTGGCTAATTGATTAATGCAAAGCAAATAAAAGTTAGTTACCTAATGGAAAGAATGTCTTTGTGGAGAACTTTCTTAGGGATGTTGCCTGGTATTCATATTACACATTGGTTAAACCAGAAAAATGCCCAAGCAGCCAGACCATTTGCTGGGATTCCAACCCAAATTCCACATAAATGGCAGAATTACGAATCTAGGACGTTTACAGTACGCGAAAAGAGATTTGCCACATTTATCTGACAATAAAGAATTCCAAAATTAATTAACCAAGGAAAAATATAACAGAAGGCAATTTAAGCATTAAAGAGAAAATAATACTGTATGATACAGACGAGACGAAAAATGGCAATTCAGCCAATTCTTACTTTAAAAAGAAAACAATATTTAATAACAGAAATTGTATGAAAAGCTAACATATGAAAACTCACACCTTATTCTCCCGAGCAAATGCTTTTCGTACACATATGTGGTCACTCCTCGATGAGATACATTTAGATATAAATTACTAAACGAAATCAAATGGAAATAACCAAAGGTGACATTATTTATTTTTGATCAGCTGAAATGTAAATATGTTACATCTCTAAAAGTTAACAACAGTTCTAAATCTGAGAGAATTGTCCTAATGCATAGAGCACAGTTACATCAATAACAAACACTTTAAAAATTTCTTAATTGTTTTCAAGTGTTGCTTAAATATTTCAACAGCAATCCATCACTCTCCAAAACATCCGTTGCTGATACATATATTTGACTTTAACATGTTTACGATTTATCCCCCATGCAATAATATAGATTTAAAAAAAAAAACTTATAAATATTTTGATCACGGACAGTCCTTTGGTGCATCAACTAAATCTTTTTCGAGCAAAACGACAAAAATAAAGTTGCGAGGGCAAATAACTGGAAGAGGATAGTCAATGACATATCTGCTAATAAGCTAGGACATCAGTATAAAAGACAAGCACGGATGATTTTATCGCGCACGGTGTACAGAAAGATTATAACATCGAATATTAGAACCAGCTTTGATTCTTCTAAAAGCGAAAAATGGAGTAAAGGATTTGATCTGATGCCATCAGGTCATATAATTTAAAAATAGTTCTAACCATTTAGATATCAATCCGGCGGGCGAAAAGACGTAGAAGCAAAGTACACTTCACATCGTCGGCCTTGATACGCGACGTTAAATACAGACTTATTACGATGATGATAAAGTTAGGAAAACAATGATACAAAGTTATACGAATTGCCGAACTGCTTTAGCCGGATTTGGAAACCGATGTTTCTATAAGTGGTTAAATACAATATTTAATAAGTTGAGAATTTTATTATACTCTTATTTGTATTGTCATATTTTGGTAAAACAGAATGTCAACACTTGGCGATAAATTTGAAATGATTTGGCAATGTGTTACATATAAGATATTTAACCAGAATGGCTTTGTGTACATTTAATATGATAGTTATAGTGTTTTTCTAATTTAGGAACACATTATTCATTTAATTTCAAGCATAACTACATAGGGATGGGCTTAAAAAAAGTGATAAAAACAAAATCTTTTTTGCGTTCATGTTATGGAAAGGAACTGATTCCATTCCAAGTTTTTTCAGTATCATCCAAGAAATGCCAAATTAATATTTTTGTAAATTTCTTGGCTGTAGTGTAGAATTGGGGTTTTCATCCGCAGAGAACCCGTTGGCGCCGTTGCAATTTTTACTCGCCAAAGGGATGAGCCGAGCCGTAAACGTAATTTTTAGTGCATGTAAATTCAAGTTGGCAGTCAAAACAATATGTTAAGCATATGGTAGTAAAAATTCACAGATAATAAGCATGTAGATGTAAAACTATCCGGTTAAACGTGATATACGGAAATAAACCTGTCTTTTTCATAATATATTTCACGATACAAATAACCTTCAACAGTAATCAAATTTTCTTCAGTAGGCATTGTTAATAAAACTAGAACTTTATACATTTTATTATTTTTCAAGAGTCGTTTGAACTGTATTCCTCACACCAACAGTTGTTTGCTAATTTTGATGACCAAGGGTATGCATCAAACTACTCTGTCATCTTAGATAATCGATAATATTTTTTATTTCAATTTAATCAGCTATTTATGTTACACCTGCATCCTCGAAAGTTATGGTTAGAAAAGCATTAACAATAATCTTGTTAAAATTTTACGCCATAAAAATTGGAGCCGAGATTCGCATCTATCGACGAAAACTTCTTAATATACAAAATAGTTCTATGTATTCGTGTAAAAATTCAGAAAAATACATGGAAAATCAGAAAAAATAATAATAAATAAGAGAAGGAGAATATAATCTCCAAATGCGAACAACGACAGTGATAATTCAACAAATGAACGCAAGAGAATGGTTGCAACCTTCAAATGAACGAATATAATGAGTCTGATAGGTTACAGGTTTGAACATTATCGCCAAAGTTGGCGATGTGTACATTTTCCGTGTTCTCTCTGCGGAAGTGTTTCCTAGAATTGGGTGCCCCTTCAAAATTTTGAGTGCCCCGACAATTATTTTTTAAATTTTGGCAATGAAAACCTCACTTTCTGGTTACTATGATAGTTTTAACTTTGTTTTAGATTCCTGATTTTTTTTTAAATGAAAATAGATTGATGTGTACATGGACAAATTTAAGCCAGGGCGCAATGCCTAGTTTGTGCAATTCTAGGATTTTTTTTTAAGTGAAAATAGATCGATGTGTACACGGACACAGAGTTTGTGCGATTCTTTGACTTCTTATTTTGGTTTTATATAGCGGTCATCTTGAATTGTGCCTTCCTGGTGCCGATCTTGGCTTAAAAAAAGAATTGCCAAAAAACAAGGGGCACCCAATTGTAAACTTTTATCAGTTTCTTAAGTTTCACATTATTTTCATTATGAAAAGCAAAATATTAACAGCACATGCTGATTTGTAAGACCTTAGACTATGAGGTTACACAAATATGATTTGGAGATGTATTTCAAATTGATGCTGTACTTGAAGAATAATAATTTGATTTTATAATAAGTAAAAAAAAATTGCTTAAAGCTTATACCTGATACCATATTACATGTTCACTTTTTCTCTTATCTATGCCTACGATGCTGTATGCTGTGATCTACTGTCACAGCTATTTGATATTTTGTTTCCCATTTTCTTTTAGCTGTGGCCAGCCACCTTTTTCATTTCCTGGTCTGCTTGCTGAATCCGAAATACAAAAATTTATCAAATATTAAAAAAGGAAATTGGTCATTCATATCTAGTATAGAGGTATCCTCATACGATATCCATCAACCAAACAGTACCACAGACATCTGTTATTTTTATTCTGCAGCATGCTTTGATTTTTTTTTTTTTTTTTTAATTTTAATTTTTATTTTATTTTACAGAAAAATTTTTCATTTCACAAATAATCATTATCATGTTTAAACATCTGATAAATGGTTATTTTATTTTATAATTCTAATGTAATACTATATTAAATTATGCTTTAATTTTAAATATCTGTGCTATTTTATTTCCATAAATCAATTCATAAATGTCATATCCATTATTTTAAAATTTACAAACAGCACAAAGAGTACTGAGAAGCAAAGTACACAGTAAGCCTTCCTAGTGGTCACGCTCCTAAATACTAAATTTGTCTTTGATTGCTCGATTTCAGGCAAACGGCGAGGAATCTGCTTTTCACCTCTTGGCTGGCAGAGTACCAGGACAGGATATTTGATAAGCATAGGACAGGATAGGAATAGGTTTAAATATTATTTTGGAATGCACTAATTTCTTCTTGAAGGGTGCCCCTTGTATTATCGCGAAGTTGTTGTTTCGTTTATGGTAACCCGAGTAGTTGAATGTCATGGAAACCTTACTGTGACATCGGTTGTGTGATTGCGGTAAATTTTGAATTATTGGAAAAGATTTGTAAGAGCTTGTGGTGTGTGTTGGTTAGGAAGTACATTGCTTGTTTTGTGGCTTAGACGTTAAAATGGCTGAATGTGGTAAGATTAATTTGAAGTTTCTGTATGATTTGGAATGAAAAGGGAAAAGAACATTAATTGACTGATTTGTAAATTAAGGTTTACTTAGTAACTATTATAAGTGTCCTGTTTGTAGGAAGGAAATGCTTATCATTGAATGTCAGAGGATATTGGCACTAGGGATGATATTTTTTACACTTATTTTTGTGAATTTATGTGGCAACGCCAATATACAGGTTCTAGTTCAGATAATTTTAGGAAGTTTTTGGATGCTGTTAAGAAATTTTGTGTGCCACAGACTGATGTTGCAGAAATTTCTAAATAAGGTAAGTAGATATTTGCTTTGTGTAGTGCTTAGATGTATAAGATGAATTTCCTTTCTTATGTTATTCTATTGCTTCATTTAAAATGTAGTTTATTGAGATTATATATTTTTTGTTTGGCTTTACTGCAGAATTTGGTGCTCCTTTGATTTTTTAAGTGAAAATCTATTTATGTGTACATGGACAAAGTGAAAGCAGTGTGCAATGCAAGTTTGTGCAATTCTTGGATTTTTTTTAAGTGAAAATAGGTCAACGTGTACATGGATAAAGTCAAGGGAGTGTGCAATGCCATTTTTCTGCAATTCATAGATTTTTTTTAAAGTGAAAATAAGTCGATGTGTACATGGATACCGAGTTTGTGCAATTCTTTGTCTTGTTATTTTGGCTTTGTGTAGCGCCGATTTTTGGTTCAAAAATCGCCGTTGTGCAAGCCAAAATAATAAGTCAAAGAATTGCACAAACTCCTTATCCATGTACTGCCAAAAATCGCCAAGGGGTACCCTAAAGTATACTTTTACCAAATCAGGTGTACATTTCTCCATTGGAATTACTACACTTCTTCGCTGTTGGAAGTTGTTACTGATAAGAAATTTTAATTAACATAATTTAGTGCTTCTGAAGATGTTTTGGTAAAAATATATTTATGGGTGCCCTTTGGTGATTTTTCGCAGTACATGGACACCAAGTTTGTGCGATTCTTTGACTTGTTATTTTGGCTTTGTGTAGCTATATTCACTTAAAAAGTCAAAGGAGCAGCCAACAAAAAATATATAATCTCAGTAAACTACATTTTAAATCAAACAATGAAATAACATAAAAAGGAAATTCATCTTAGCACTACACGAAGAAAATATCTTCTTAACTTATTTAAAAATTTCCCTGTTTTCAGTCAAACAAAATTTCTCAACAGCATCCGAAACTTCATGAAATTATCTGAATGAGAATCTGTATACTGGCGTCGCAGCATAAATTCACAAAAATAAGAGTAAAAAATATCCTTTGTAGTGCAGGTATCCTTCGACATTTGACAAATTTCCTTTTCACAAACAGGACACTTATAATGGCAACTAAGTAAACCCTCATTTTCACTCCAGTCAATTAATTCTTCCCTTTCGTTCCAAATCATACAAAAACTTCAAATTAATGTTATAATATTCAGCTATTTTACCGTGTAAACCACAAAAAAATAAATGTATTTCTTATCCAAAATCTGTCCCATAATTCAAATTCACAGCAGTCAACTACTCAGGTTACCATAAATGAAACAACAACTTGGTGATAATGCAAGGGGCACGAATAAGATTTAGTTTTTAAAGCAGAAGTAAATTTGGAATTGCTTCTGTTAGAAGCAAATCCAAATTTGTTCTGTTCAGAAGGAGAGTTTCTAGGATTGTCCATTTTGTGGCTAGCATTATTATTATGCTAAAAACTGATGGACTTGATGAAGTTTGGTTTTGGGATATTTTGGGCAACCATTAGCTCTTAAAAGTAAAGCAGAAAATCTACAATGAATAAGACTTCGTACTGAGATCTTTTCAAATGTTTCTGATTTTATTAATTGTCTGGATTATAATTTTTAAATAAAATGTTCCAATGAAAGTTTCCATTACTTTCTCATTTTAACACTCTGCACTTTAACATAATGCTGTCAACTTAAAGATATTTCTAACATTAAAGAAAAAAGAATTCAAAGTTTTTTGTGAAGAATTCACATTTTTAAACCATTCATTCTAGCACTCTGACAGGTTCTCATATGTTGCTGGCAGTTTTGGATCACATTTGTAGATGAATTTCAAGGCCTGTCTTTACACCTGTAAAGTTTGACACTACCTTACACATTTTCAACTCAGTTTTTCAACATGGTGAATTTATGGCTGTGCCAATTAAGCTTTACTTCTCCCAATTCAAATTCTTTGCATACCATCTGGAAGAAATATCATTCTTATCATATGAAAAAGTTAGACTGAAATTCAGCAATTAAAAATCACAAACAAAATGCTTCTCAAAAGATTATACCAAAAATATTGCTCCGTGTCTTACAAATCCTGTATCAAGATAATATTTTCCAAATTTGGGCTCGTATGAAATAAAATATTCTAGGCTGACATGCTAAAAACAGTGTTTAAATGTTAGTAAGTTAAGTTTTCTCAGATGGTCCATTTGCTTTATCAAGTAGAATTGAAGAAATTTCTGCGTGTCAGTTGATGCAAAATTGTCTGTTCGTCCATAGGAGGTAATGGTAGTCGTCTGTTAGGTGCCTCCACAATAAAATGGCCACCACTTTAGGCCTTAGGAGTGGCCAATGCCATTATAAGCAAGTGCCCGCCATTGGGGGGGGGGTGGAATTTATTTTTTGTTAGCAAGTAAGCTCCACAGTGACATTGCATTTACGTAGTTCAAGGGAAAAAACCACACGCTAATCACAACAAGCAGAAACCACAAATGTGACCTCAAATTTTTCAAAAGCACATGCATTACTACCATTGCCAAGAAAGTGGCATTACATGCTGGTGTAATATATGCACAACCATTAATAGGTTGCCCAATAAATACCTTTTCATAAAATGGACAAAGAGCTATTTGCCCGGTGATTTTTGTTATAGCTGGGCAAATAATCCGAGAGTAATAAAAGTACCTGAAAGAAGGTTTTCCATGTTGTAAAATGTGGTAAAAAATTCTTAAGTTCTTAAATCAAATCTGATTGCTAAATTTGATGGTATGTATAATCATGTGACTTTAACATTTTATTATGTTCTTGTTGATAATGAATTGAGAGTTCATCACTTGTTAATTTCACATGAAAAGCTTTTATAATAAGCCTAATATGTTATATGAGTTTAATGCTGACTGGGAAAACATTTATGTTGGTGTACTAATATAACAGATTGTTGTAAAACTTTCAAAAGCTATCTGCATTAAAGATGAGTTCTTTCTGATTATCCTTACACCCCTCAAAAGTATTTGCATGGCAATGCAGTGCCCATGATGTTGCCAAAATGTATTTATATGGCAAGCTAAGTATTTGTGTATGTGCAGCAAATGAGATCTGGTTTACATCTTCATATTCAGCAGTTGTTTGTCTAATTAGTGTTTGTTGCATTTGAGTAAATTTTTTCTTGTAAGGAATTGTAATGGGACTGTGGAGTTTGCCAGATGATAAAAAAGAAAGTGTTGCATTTAGTCAGAAATGATTGCTTTTTGCCTAACAATAGAGAGTGCAAAAATTCGCATTCTATGAAGTTGTACGTTTTAAATGACCAAAATATGTACAACTCTGTAATTATTTTAAAGATAAAACAGATTGGTGTGAACATAGAAAGAACAGCAAGGGGGGAAAACAGTTACGGTGTTATTGTGGATGCTTCTTGCATTTTTAATTTTGTTAATTATTTGCTGTTTTATCTAATTCTTAGTGCAGTGCCTTTTTTATAAATGGCTGTGGTCTTTTGCGTCCTAGCTTGGTAAAAAATTAGTTGCCAGCAGTTGGCGACTTTTTGGAGTGGTGAGTAGAGATAATCAGAAACTATCAAAAATTGCATAGGGGAAAGGTTTCTAAGATAAATAATAGATTTATAAATATTGATAATTTCATGCATTTGCCTACATCCAAAACTCAGATGAAAGGACAAGTGTTCCAAGCTATTAGCCACTTCTCAGTGATTGGTATATGTTTGTTTGTAAAATAAATTATGCATGATAATTAAGAATGTGTGGAAATTGACCAAACATTCTGAAAAGTGCATCAGCTCTGATCCATGGATCTAGAGTAGGATTTTACTCTAACTATGATTAAAAAGATAAGGTAATGTTTAATGAATCAACTTTGAAAAGCTATGCCTGTAATCAGTAATCTGCTTCACTTTAGAAACTAATGAATGTTTTCAAATCTTTACTGAAATGCCATAATGCATATGGAAAATAATTTTTCTCTCAAAATATTTAAAATTGAAAGAAGCATAGTTTAGAAAGGGAAACATAAATGTAAAAATTAGAATGTGCTGGTAATGTATGAACATATGAGTGATAAGTAAAGGAAGTAGAGGATAACTAAAGCATTTTGAGAAGAAGGGGTAGTGAATTTTTCTTAAGTAACTGTTAATGAGAAGTAAATACCTGAGAACATTGAACTTTAACTGTAAACTTAAACTAATATATCTTCTAATAGAAAAAGACAAAATGATAAAAATATATCTTTAAATCTTAATATATACCTTCTAGTTTATTGAACCAACCAGAACTTTTTATTAAATCGTCAGCTGATTTAAGTTCAAACAAGAATGTTAAAAAATGTTGTTTGCTATTTCATAGGTTTCTTTAAGGCTGTTTGGCTGCTGAATGTAGCATTAGGTAATCTCAGTTGTTAAACTAATATCCTGTTCATCAATGTTATTTCTTTAACTGTGTAGAGACATTAACAATTTTTCGTAGCAGGAGACGTGAAAAATGTGCAATGCCCTCGCTGGAACATGAACCCTTAACCTCTTGAATATGCGTTGAGTTTGCTTTCAATTACACCACAAAGCCATACAGAAAAGAAGAAAATACTTTATATATATATATATTCCCCTTTTAAAGGGCAACTGGGGATTAGAGAACCTGGTTGTCAAATCCTGGTGGTGACAAATCATTGTCCACCACTTTTTAGTTCAGGTTCCACTGTGAGTCATTAGGTCTTTTTGAAGCAGAAGATAAGAAAAATGTGCAGTGCCCTCACTAGGACTTGTCCATGTCAATGAATCCTTGTAAAGAATAATGATTTTACTCTTATGTTGAATTCATAATGCCTTTTTACCCTCCGATGGCTCTAAGCTTAAAGTCATTAGATGATGGTATTCTGTTCTGAGTTTGATTAGCAGCAGCTGAACGGGCCAACTGCATGGGGTCTTGATTTTTCCCATGCAAAGTTTCCCTTAGAAAATCCTCCTTGCTGGCGTCCCTTCTAAGGCAAATTGCTTTCATTGCTTTGCCTATTATATAACTTGGTATCTTTTCTAATTCTTGGAAATTCCTGCTTAAATTTATTAAAGTTATGGCACCATACTACTTATAATGTTAAAATGAAAATAATTATTCCCTTGCTATTGAATTTCAGAAGTAAATTCCTATAAAGTAATTCAATCCTTAAAAAAGTTTTGAATATGTCTGGTGGGAAATAAAATGATAATTTTGTAGTTTATTTTTTCTGGAAATAAAAAATGTATGAATCCATTGTAAATGTAATTTTTCCTCAAATCTTCTACAGGGTAGATCACAAACGAATCTTAGATGTAGGTCCAGATCGAGCTGCAGCTGAATGGCTTTTAAGATGTGGAGCTTCTGTGAAGTGGCAGAATAAAGAATGGGTGTTCGATTATAATAAGCTACAAGATAAAGGTGTAAACCATGCACAGTGGATAATAGAAGAAATTGATGCAACTGAATCATGTGTTATGCACAATGGTTTTCATTACCTTAGTAAGTTCTAGCAATATAATATACTGTTCTAAAAATGTATTTGCAACTGGATGAAATAATTATTAAAAGTTAATTTAATTCTTTATATGCATTGGGGTCAGTAATGCAAGATGTTGGCTTGTCGAAATTTAAGCACATAGAACTGTGCCAAAATGCTTCTGCATAAAATTTTTTTAGATTATTATAATCTTGATCTCATATCCTCCCTTCCCTTATTCGGTTGAATTAACATAAATTAACTTTATCAATAGGTAAATGATGATGTACGATAAACTGCATGCTTTTTGTATCATGCTTAATGGGTTTTGCATACTGCAGAAACCAGCTGGAAATTTTTTTTAATTGTAAAAAGGTGTAAGTAGTGAATGTCGATTCCAAGGATAACTTGCAAAAAAAAAAAAAAATTCCATATATTAACGTTACTTGACATTTGACAATGACAGTGGTTGGATATAAAAAAGAAGTCAAGCCAACAGAAAAACCGAGATTGCATCAAAAGAAGATTTTGCTCTGCACATAGTAAGGTACAAAAGATGAATTGTTAGAAAATAAATGAACCATTAGTATCTGTATTTATTATCATATTAGATAATACAGTCAAAAGTCTTTAATCTGGACTCATCGGGACTTCGGTGGTTCCGGATTATCGATTTTTCCGGAATATAGATCATCAGTTTAAATCTGGTAAGATGGCATGTAGAAATTATAAAATTAAAAATATGAAACCGTAATTTATGAAATAAAGAGCCATTACTATCTAAAAGCTATCAAAATTTAGAAAAAAAAAAGGCTTAATATTTATTTGTTTACTTTATTAAACATTTCTTTCAACGCGCGCATGCGTAACGCATACATTACATATAGTCGAAATTAAAAAATTGCAACCAGAAAACTATTTGATGTGTACTTGTGATATTTATAATGACGAGGAATTTGATTTAAATCACATGAAAGACAGAATACATCGAGATGAAATACTACATTTAGTAAGGAATTATAAGCTGAATAAAATAAAAACATCTGCCCTGAAGTTAAGGATAGTTCCCCCCTTCCCCGCAGAGCAGCGTGAAATTGATAAACAGATTTCGGAATGGTTAGAGAAACAAAGGATATGCCTTTATCCATTTTTTGCAGCAATTCCACTTTATGTTTGATGGACATCGAAACATACTTTCGCTTTGTCGATCCTTTACATATTAGTAAATATATATCAGAAATTCTATTTGACATAATCGAAAGTTCAAGCTTACTTTTATAAGATTGCTGTAACTGTCTGCAAAAAATAATAAGCCGGATCCAATTCGAAGATTAAGGAACAACGCAATCTGCAACATTAACTGAAATAGATAATTAGATCATTTTAGCTTGTACCGACCGTTATACATTAAATGTGCATGCGTAAACATATTATGCACATGCCCACACACATATACGCAGTCGTAAAGGTCTTACGCGCATGCTTAAATGCCTACGACGCATGCGCAGAAAATTTGTAGCTTTGAGGTCTGGATTGTAGATCATTCTGGATTAAGTGTGTCCGAATTAACGACTTTTGACTGTATAATGTGGTTTAATGTTCAAGTGATCTGCATTAATCAACAAACTTGATAGGGTTCTTGAGCAGGATAATGCTAAATCACATGCTGTAAAAGTGACTTAACAAAAGCTTAGTAATGAAAATTCTTACTTATGGTACTCCGTCAAAATAGCCCAAGCCATAAGAGCCCCAACAGAACAGCCCAAGACTAAATGGCTTTCAAGCATAAATAATTTGTAGTTAATAATACACAAATATATTTGCAGCTTTTACATGGTATTCCATCAAACCAGTCCATGACTAAATAGCTTTTATCCAAAAAGCTTGACAAAGCAGCCCAAATTCAAATTCTGAATATTTATTAAAAAATATATATACAGTACAAAGTCTTTAATCCGGACTCGTCGGGATATCAGCACGTCAGATTAGGGGTTTTTCCAGATTATAGATCATCAATTTAAATCTGGTAAGATGGCATGCAGAAATTATAAAATTAAAAATATGAAACCGTAATATATGAAATAAAGAGCAATTATGATCTAAAGGGTATCAAAATTTACAAAAAAAAAAAAAAAAAAAAGCTTAATATTTATTTGTTTGCTTTATTAAACATTTCTTTCAATGCAAGTTGCTTTGTTTTATGTGCTAATACTTTCTCTTTAATACTATAAACAGACATAATTTCTTGTTCAGTTACAAAGTTCCGCTATTCAAGTCCTGTAATTGCTGTGCCGAGAATACTGACTAATTTGTCAATCGAAATTTTTTCGTTTTCACTAACCTCTCTGTCACTTTCATCATGCTTTTATCCATTTTTTGCAGCAATTCCACTTTTTGTTTGATGGAGATCGAAACATGCTTTCGCTTTGTAGATCCTTTGGCAGCTCCAGAATCGGAAACTCTTTTTGACATAATCGAAAGTTCAAGCTTATTTTTTATAAAATTGCTCTAACAGTCTGCAAAAAATCATAAGCCGGATCCAATTACAAGATTAAGGAACAACGGAATCTGCAACATTAACTAAAATAGATAATTATATAATTTTAGCCTAGCTTATGCCGTCCATTATACATTAAACGCGCATGCGTAAACGTATTATGCGCATGTGTAAATGCATATGCACCAGTGTAAAGGTATTCAGAAAGTTTGTAGCTTTGAGGTCCGGATTATAGATCATTCTGGATTATGGACATCCGGATTAAAGACATTGTACTGTATATATTAATATATCAATATATAAAACTTACATTTCAAGACTATGTGCAAAGGCCATCTACGAGGGCAATCCCAAAAAGAAGGTCTCCTATTTTTTGGGGACGTAGAGAAAGTTTTAATACGGTTGTTGGCAATACTGTTGTGAGTGGTGCCTTCTCTGCTATCACATAAGCACGCAGGCGCTTCGCTCGGATGCTCAGTCTTGGCTTGGCAGCCATTCGAAATGGAGCTCCCGATAAACGTTACCGCCAAGTGCGCAGTTATTCAATTTTTGAACGCAAAAGGCATTAAACCGTTTGAAATTCACCGCCTATTGACAGAAGTGTATGGACAGTCGTGCATGGATGTCAAAAAAATTCGCAAGTGGTGTAGAGAGCTGGTCGTACTGAAATTCATGACGAAGAAAGGAGCGGGAGGCCGTCAATTGCCGACGAGACAATCGCGAAAGTTGAGTTCCTCAACTTTCGCGATTGTTGAGTTCGTAAAATGCGTAAAGATCGGAGGATTATCTGGATGCTCCTGAAGCTCCTGCACGCTTCCTGAAGGGCATGGCGGCAAGCTGGTATGACATGGGCATTGTAAAACTGCCACAGTGTCTACAAAAATGCATCGACCGAAATGGCAATTATGTTGAAAAATAAAGCATTCTGCAATCTTTAAAGTGATGTAGCAATTATAGAAAATAAACGGTTCTTTTTATATCTAAAAATCTAGGAGACCTTTTTTTTTTGGGATTGCCCTCGTATATCCTGAAGTTTTGGTTTGAAATGAGTAATAATATTGTCTGTGCAGATGGATCATTGTTTAACGACGAAGACTGAGTGGGAGCCGGTGTGTGTTGTGATTGTTTTTCATGCTATGCACCAATAGGTGCTCATTCCACTCATTACAATGGCAAAATTGAGGCTATTTATATCACTTTAAAGCAGCGATGCCCAACCTTCTGCTCACGAGCAGAAGTCTGCTCCCCGATCGGTTTTGAGCACAAGTCTGTTCGCCGATCGTTTTTGAGCACAAGTTTGCTCGCCGATCGTTTTGTATGTGCTCGCCAGCACGATTAGGTACTATGAACAAAAAATATTAAAAAAATAACCATTCATTTATATTTATTAATTATTATAATATGGTAAGCATTTATAGTCATAAGAGATATCTTGCAAGACATTATAAAATAATTGATTGCTGACTGATGAACTTGATTATGAACATGGAATCTTATTGCTTCATTCCGATGTTAGATGGCTCAGCAGGGAAAAAGTACTTCAACGATTTGTAGAACTTCTGTAGCCAATAAAGCAGTTTTGGGAATCCGGAAATGAAAGTTATAAAGAATTGGACGACAATAATTGGTTATCCAATCTATATTTTCTCACAGATATAACAGCTAAACTGAAAAAAACTGAACGAAGATCTCCAGGGAAAAGAAAAAAAAAAACCTTTTTTCAATTGACTGGGACTGTAACTGCTTTCCAGATAAATTTAAATTTGTGGATAAATCAAATGAAAGAAGAAAATTTCACCCATTTTCAGAATTTATCAAGCCATATTAATAACCAAGAGGCAATTGAAACAGAGAAATACTCGGAAAACCTAAATGCACTGAAAAAAAATTTTGAACTCCGCTTCTCTGATTTCCATAAAGTTCAACCAATATTATAATTCATCTCAAACCCATTTGCCGAAATTAATATTCCAGATGTATCACATAAGATTGGAAATATATTTAACAAAAATGTTGATGTTTTGGAAATGTACTCGCAATAGGCCAAAATGTGCTCGTGAGAGGCCAAAGGTTGGGCACTACTACTTTAAAGCAACTGGCTGTCCACCCTTCTTCATTTTGCAGAACGGTTATTTTGTCAGACTCTCTGTCTGCTTTTCAATCTCTTGCAAATAGACAATACACAGATAATACCTGAGTGCAGCAAACTCTCAATGTCAATCTCTATTTCTTTCCAGTGTATCCCAGCTTGCTGTGGGATTCCTGGGAACGAGGCTGCCGACTTTTTGGCTAAAAAGTGTGCATGAATTCTCCAAATACCTTTGAAAAGCCTCTCATTTCATTCAGTAAGACTTCTGATAAAAAGAAGATATGCTTCCAGGATAAAGCAGAGAGCACTGTGTGACTCTACCGGTAAGCCATGGGCCTCTCTGCTTGAGTTGATCACAGTTGATCTCAGATTTTCCTAGGGCTGCAGTTGTGGCATTTTTCCGCCTTACTACAGGCTGTGACTATTTGCCCGCATAC